TATCTTCAACTTTTTCCATAAGTTTTTTTAAAACATCTTCTGTTTTGTTACCTATTTTTTCAGCATGAATGGAATCATCAAGAGATGTCCTAATACTGTTTTTTACAATGTCTGCAAATGATAATTCTTTTGATTTATTTGCAGGTGGGTGTGTTTGTGGTTTACGATGTTGAGCAGGTTTATATTTGTTGTACAAAGGTTGCAATTTGGATATATTGATTTTTTTTTGTTTTGCCCGTTGAATTTCCTGACAACCTGTAATAGTGTGATCAGGATGTCCACATTTTCTACAGAGTGCAGTATCTTCTGATGCCCAAAATAATTCAGTATTATTGAGAGTATACCAATTAATTTGTGCATCATGTGCTGCTTCATCAGAATCAAAGAAAAACCATCCATATCTACAGTTGACATATGATTTGCGTGTTTTAGGTATGAAAATTGCCTTTGCTTTTGTTGCATTGATTATTTCAACAAGATCTCTTGCTGTAGTTCCAAAAGGGAGGTGACCAAGTTTGAGGGCATGTAAATGTCTTTTTTCATATTGTTTTTCATTCATGCTTAATGGTTCTACTCTAACCATATCTTTTAGAATAAAGACTGCCCATGTTTCATTATGAAATGGTAAAATATCTTCCTTTTTTTCAAAATAAATTATGGCTTCTTGCCATAAGTCTTTGGTTTGCATAGAGAATTTAATAATTTTTCCATATTTTTCGAAAGTAGCATGTACTAAAGTTGAACTTGTATTAAGTGGAATATTCTTAACTCTTATTGAATTTTCTTTATTAATGTTTCCAACTGGTGCAAGTTCTTTAGAGAAACGGATACCTTCATAATCAGGTAAGTCTGTGACAACAAGGTTATTAAGATCCTCTTCATTATCGAAGTTAGCAACAAATTTCCTTTGTTTGCCAAATCTGGTAATGTAGAGACCCACAAACCCTTTATAATTGATCAAAAATTTTTCAACAAATTTTTTTTTATTAATATTATTTTTACTTGGTATTTGATCGATTAAAATTGCTGCTTGAAAATTTGTGTATTTATTGACAACTACCCACTCTTGTGTCATCTTGTTGTCCTCCACATTTGAACCTGAATTTCCATTATCATTAAATGTGTTTGATGAGTCTTCAATAGAATGAGGTGAAATTGGTTCTTTTGTATTAATAATAGATGCATTTGTTGATGTTGCAAATGTTTGAAGTGCATTTGTTGCATTTGCATCTATCTCCATCATATTTGAATTAGAAGCTTTATTAACATCTACATTAGATTCTTTCTCATGAAAATTTGCTTTTTTTTTTGCTTGTTTTTTAGAATTTGAGTTATAATGTCTAGTCATTCATCGTATTTATTATTATTTTATTTTTTATTTTGGTTACGCGAAAGAAATTTTTATTTTATATATTTATATATTATACATTTTAAATATTTAAAAATTAATATTAAAAAATATTAATATGAAAATTTCGAATTTGATATCAAAATAGTCTTTGTTCCTTTGCTTTATTAAAATGAACCTTTTGGGAAGCACAAGAGCGAAATCAAAAGGCAAAACATTGTAGTGAACAATTTTTGCTGTGTTTATTGCTAGTAATAAATATACATAGTTGATTATTTACAAAAAAATTGGTTCTCCAAACACATGATGCCCAATAATTGAAAGATATAATAAAAAATTATATACCAACTGATCTTCTATTATATAAAGAAGTTGTCCTATTTCTAACAGTGATTATGTTTATATATTCATCACCATTTCGCAATAATTTTTGTTGTATATATACATGATCCTATATTAAAATAATCTGGAAAATACTTTAATAATATAACCAAGGTGGATGATCCTTTTGGATGATTATTACTATTTAAAACTACCCATGTCTAAATAGATAAGTTTTACCAAAATTGAAGCAATATATCAATGTAAAAAAAAGCAAGTTATAATTAAGCACTTTAGTGTATAACTTATTTTAAATTTAAAAAATGAAATAAAAAATTGGTAGAATTTACACACTGTCCTTTTTACTAGTTGTTCCAAATGTGATTCCACTATGCTTTACATGTTAACAATTTTTACTTTTATAGATAATTTTATTATTATTTATTATTACAATGGTTACAGATATTATTAAATGGTAGTTTAGAACTAACCAGCTGGTAAGTATTTTAACTTTAATTTTTCATAATAAAATAAATCTTTAAATAAAAATCTTGTAAATGTTATTATTTTATTTCTTTGTATATATTACAATCAAGTTTTTTAAATTCTTGGATGATATTTATTTATTTAAACACACACGTATATATATATCTTTTTAGGGGAACAATGTACTAAACAGGAGGTTTGATAATATTCAATTACTACAATGGTTATCAATCTCTGTGATTTCTTCAACAGATATTTTTTCAAAAAAAAAGATGATAAGTTGTTTTATATGTATATGTGGATCAGGTTAAATAGGCAATCTTACTGACAAATATTTTAGGACATTGATTTAATTATTTGAATGTTAACTATACTCTTTTATTAAGAGAATTGTTTTGAAAGTACATTAAATTCAGGTCACTTGTACATAAAAATATGTCATGATGTTACTAACTCGTATAAATATATTAATTAAAGAACGTCTATATAATAATAATAAACAATAGATTGTTGTTATTAACATTTTATAACAAGTGTAAGCTTATTGTTAACACTAAATCTACAACAGATATGATGATTTTATGATAACTATTTCAAAGTATATACAGTATATATTCTTGCATCAACTTGAAATTGATTACATTCGAAACCTACAAAAAAGTTAAAAAAATTTATTCTCATTTCAAAATGACGACTCGCAATAAAATGTCCAATGCTACAGTAGAATATTTTAATCAAAAACATAATAAATGGAGCATTACAGGCTTTCTAAACGAAAGCAACGAAGAACCATTCCAACTGAAGATAGACTTATATCTGAAAAGCCTCAAATATATTATTAACTCTGAGCAAGGAACAAGTCGAAATGGCTTTTTTAAAAATATTATCAGAAAACAAGCAAAAATTTTCTTGTTGGAAATGTAGTTGAAAAGTAGTATAGTGTGGCGAGAATCTCGGTTTCTTTTGTCATAGAACTAGTGTTTGAGAACACAGGCAATCTCTTAGTTTGGCTATGCTAAAGTCTCTTAGTCTATCTGATGAAAAGAAAATCAAATAGAAAATTTTTGACATGCTAGTTGAGAATATTAATAATACCTCAAATCGTCTATCTAGGATGATCCTCAATCTGATTTCAAGTTGCAAGACGATGGGAGAAGGTTCATAAGTTGGTTGGTAGACCTTCGATTCACTTCCACCAAGTTACGAATAGCTCTATGGTTGAGACTTTAGATGTAAAAAGACAGAAAGAAGACCATGAAGAATTACAGATGTTGCATTTTTTGCTTGAGTTGTAGAAGCTGGCAGAACTAATTATTTCGCGATTTAATTTTTTTAGAATAATAGACAAGATCTCAAGCGGATAAAAATAGAAGATTACTTCCTTATTCATTCATGTTGTCAGGCTCATGATGATATTCCCAAAAATGATATTGCCGAGGATGATCTTCTTATGGAATTCCCTTATGATATTATCGCTGATTGCAAACTGATTGTCAACAATGTATGTATCCGATCAAAAATGGAACTCCAAATATGTTAAGGAAATACATAAGCAAAGATATGTATACCTATTGATATTGCTATTGGTACGTCTATATACCTTAGATATTGAAACTTTACTTTACAACCTAATCCGTTACAATATTCTAGATACAACCTGTTCATCAGTTTCAAACCGTTCACATAAAAAAGAGGTTTTCAATTGTGAAACCGGTGATTGAAGAGGTAAAGAACCATTATTATTATTATTATTATTATTATTATTATTATTATTATTATTAACATTTTCTCTGAATGATAATGATAATGATGATGATTATTATTGCCAGCGTTATTACTGTTGTTGCTATGGCCATTATTACTGTTATTGTTACAATAAGCTCAAGACCATTGAGAATAAAAGTAAATTCAAATTTAAACTCTTTGATCTTATCGATAGCGTTATTTTTTCTAATAGACCACTGTTAGTGCCTTTGTTGTTTTTGGAATATAGAATGATTAGATTTTTTCGATGGTTTATGGCCTCAATAATGCACGAACTTTTTAAATAACATCATGTATAAAACTTTTTCTGCGGATTACAAAATTGGAGGCCAAGTCCTTCACCAGCAGTATAGATACGGTCATGATCATTTATAAAAAACCCTTTTAGGTCTGAAAACTATCGGATTTTAAAAATACGGTGCAGATCATCTATAATCATTAATTGCTTATAGTAACAATTGATCAAAAATTATATCATTTTAAAAAATTTAACCGATAAGTTTTATTGTTCATGACTCAAGCTTCAAAACTTATTGGCTGGTTTTTTCTTAAACTGAAAATTGGCAGAGCCTTAGCATTTTGAAAATTCCGAATTTTGTTAATACATTTAAGAAATTGAGACAAAGTAAATTTCGTGTAACAACTTTTTTTTTCATAGAATATTTTCTAAAACATACATTTGATTTATTCGATTTATTTATTTCCTTTTTTTTATTAATAAATAAAAATTCTTTACAACAAAAAAGTTTAACATATTACATTAAAAAAAAATCATTACCAAATTTGGTCGTGAGATTCAAAATATTGTTACACGAAAATTATTGTTGCACTTCTGAGCATAACTTTCAAATTTAAAAAATCTAAGAAAATTTGAGACAAAATTTTTTTTTAGATTAATAGACTCTCCTTTTAAAGCTGAATTGAATGGTGGTAGGTTTTTTAAAATCCAATGTGTGGGATCACATTATATTTCAAAAATTTTATCATTATTCCGTATGGAAAAGGAAAGGCCAAGAAAATCTATATTACACAATCTAAATGTATTACATACCAATAAATTGATGATCGTAATTTATTAGTATTAGCATTTTGTTTATTCCTTTGGTCCTAAGCCTTTTCATTATATATAGATAGATATAGATATATACACATTCTTTTATATCATTCTCATTCTCCGCCTCTTCCTCATTCTATCCATTCTCGTTTCATTCCAATAAATTAAACCATGAGTAAAGAGTATAAACCTCTAGTTAAAGAACAAGAGGAGAAAGAAGAAAAGGTTACAAATTTTTCAAACCAACCCACTCCATCCTCCAATTCTTCAGACATATCAGAACAACAAAAACCATCAAATAATTTTCCATCTGTGTTTTCAAAAGGAGCACCATCAATTATGGCTTATTGTATTGCCAGTATTCTTATGACAATCACAAATAAATGTGTGTTGTCGGCCTATGATTTCAACATGAATTTTCTCTTATTATGTATCCAGGTATTATTATCATCATTATTTATTTTTTTCTTTTTATTGAAAGATTTTAATTAATTAATGAATTAACGAATAAATATAGTCGACTGTTTGTGTTTTACTTTTAAAAATATTCAAATTATTTAATTTGATTTCTTATAAAGAGATTAATCTTAAATTATCAAAAAATTGTAAGTTTCTATAAATGTTTATTCAAATATATATTTTTAAACCTATACTAATAAAGAATCTTGTTTAATTAATTTAATTAAGGGTTCCCTGTTGTATTTTTACTTGTTGTCATGATTTATACAGGAAGCAAAAGGTAAATAAATAAGTATATTTGTGATTAATATCTTTATTTCCTGATTTTCTTTTTAATTGATTTATTATCTTTTTTTTAGTTTACAATTTCTTACAATTCCTATATATACTATATTCAAGAATTTAACCATTATTTTTATTGCTTATGGTGAAGTATTATGGTTTAAAGGTTCAGTGACAGTATTAATGATGACAAGTTTTCTATTGATGGTATAATAATAAATGGATATATATATACATATAAATTTAAATCTTATTATTTTATTATTTTATTAGAAATTTAGAAATATTTAATTTCTAATATTAATATTATTATATTAATAAAATAAATAAATAGGTCTTTTCTTCAATAATAGCAGCCTCATCATCAGATTCACTCAATTCAATTATAATTGAGAAATATTCTCCATTTAACTTTGGTTACATTTGGATGGGCTTCAATTGTGTTTCTTCAGCTACATATATTTTATTTATGAGAAAAAGAATCAAATCAACAAACTTCAAAGACTTTGACACTGTATATTATAATAACATGTTATCAACTCCATTATTGGTTTTCATGAGTTTAATAGTGGAAGATTGGTCCTATGCTAACTTAGAAAAAAACTTGTAAGAATATTTAATAAATTCATTTATCTATTATAATATAATATGCATGTATACATATATATTATATATTAACCCATTGACTATTATTGTTATTTTTATTGTTATTATAGTCCAATTGAAGTCCGAGGTATTTTAATATCATCAATGTTATTCTCAGGATTATCAGCTTTTGCAATTTCTTTTGCTTCTGCATGGTGTATTAGAGTCACCTCAAGTACCACTTACAGTATGGTTGGCGCATTAAACAAATTACCAATAGCTGCAAGTGGTATAATTTTCTTTGGTGATCCTACAACTTTTGGAAGTGTATCTGCTATTCTTATTGGTAAATAAACAAGGTTTAATCTTATTTCTTCTTCTCCTCTTAAAAGAATCATTTATTAAAATGGTTTTTATCAAAAAAATTAGGTTTTTTTTCTGGAATTTTATATTCAATAGCAAAAAATGAACAAAATATTGATAAATTAACTATTATCGACAATGACAATAATTTACATAAATCTTCTTCCTCAACATTAAAATCACATCATAACATAAATGATCCAATAATCAGTGAAAAATACATTGAGCATATAACAAATTCAATAACTATAAAAATAGACAATGACAATAGCAATAATGAAAATTAATCAATAATAATATCAATTATTAATTAATATCAATTATTAATTAATATCATTATTGCTATTGTTATTAATGTGTAAAATATAATTGTTGTTTTTCTAATAAATTTTCAATTTCTCTAACCAAACTTAGATAATGAAAATGGTTTTTTATGAAATAATAAAAAATAACAGCACATGTTTGAAGCATGTTTGTTGTGACCTACTACCCTGGATTTTCTCCTACTAGTACATTTTAGGTTATTACTTTGAAGTAATCACTGTTTGGCAAAATGTGATGAATAAAGAAAAGTTTCCGATAAGTTAGTTACGTGGCAAATAAGCTTTGGATGATTTTTATTTGGTAAAATAATGTGATAACCTTCTTATATATCATGTAATTATAAAATGATGCAATATAAAAATTTGTCACATACGTTATGTTATATATCAATATGTTTCTTTATTATTATTAAAAACTTGTTTAGTGACAATTTTGACATTATAGATTATATTTATTAATATTAAAAAAATGGCTGAATATGTTTTATTTTAAACTTTTGAAGGAATGTAAAAAATTAGACACTTTTTCTTTTGCACAAATTCACATGTTATATTAATTAACAATTGCAAAGGCACGAATTTTCCATTAATCCATCACAAGAAGAATCTTAATTATCCAAATGTTGACTTCTCCTACCAGCCAATCATAATTGGTAACATCCGGATGTATGTATGTTTACACATAATGTACATTCATTCTATTCGCCTCTTTATCCATTAATATAATAACAATCATTCTTTTTATTTTTAAGATCCATTTATTTATTATTTACTTTGAATAATTTTATTTACCATAATAATGATTATTATAATCGTAATAAAGAAGTAGGAAATTTTAGATTTGATCAAAGGCTTTGAATTTGCATATTTATTTTTTGGTGGGGTTAAAGTTTTACCAATTTTTATGGTAAAAACATTTTAATATTTTGGTAAATTTCTTGGGGTTTGTGTTTTTTTCCTCCCTCAATACAATCAAAATTTTATCATTGTACTAAAACTGGATTTATTTTTTATTTTTTTTGTGATTTTTAAAAAGATTGTCGTTTCACATCTTTACATGTTTATATGTCAGCAAAAAATATGTATATATGTATAAACTATAAACTTGTGTTCACCACCCTTTTCTTTTACAATTATACAAATAAAATAAAATAATAAATAAATAAAAAAAAAAAAGAAAAAGAGAGTAAAAAAAAATATTTTCCCCTAAAAATTTTTTCAATAGTAATTTTGTTGGATGAATTTTTTTTTACTGTATATAATATTATCCATTTTTTTTCTATCCATTCAATAAAAAAAAAAACTAAATTGAAACGCTTTATTTTTTAAAAAGAAATTTTAACACAATAAAAATTAAAAGTAAAAATAAAAAAAAATGCCTATAGCCGAAACACTTGATAACTCATTTGACATGGATAATAATCAAGAAAATTTCCAACAAATGAATGCCGCTACTTTTCTTCCACTGATGCTTCAAGCTCAAGACCTTGTAACTAAATTGGAAAGTAGAGTGATTGAATTGGAAAATGACCTTGAAGTATGTATATACTCGTATTAAATTAATGTTTACATTGATATATATTTTTCATTAATAATAATAATGAACCGAATGTTTATTTAGAGTGATTAAATTTAACATAAAATAAAAATTTTTCTTTTGTGTTTGGAAATAGACGATAAATGAATCTCATGAGCAAGAAAGGGATCAATTACTTCAAGAAATTGGTGAAAAAGATGAATACATTCATAATCTTAAAACAAAAGTTAGTAGACTTGAATTTGGTGCGCGAGAAGCTATAATTGTATTAGCTAGGACTGTTGAAACTCTCAAAGCACAAAATGACGATGATGAAGATAAAGAGGATGATGATAATGCTACTGCTGTTGAATCAACTGACTTGGAAGGACAATTTCTTGATAGTATTAAATTATGCTTGAATTATTTAAAAAGTGCTCAAAATTATCGAAAACTCTCAAAAAATCGGAAAAAACGTTCATCCCAAACTCCTATAAGAAAAGATTCAAAGATTCAACAAAGTAATGATGAGGATTATGATGATGATGATGTGGTAGACCATAATCACAACACGCGCATCGACAATAATAACGACACACAAAAAAAATCAAAAAATCAAATCATTGAAAATAATGATGATGATAATTACAATTATAATAATGATGATAATGATAATAATGATGATAATGATAGTCATGACAATAATAATAATAATAATAATAATAATAATAATAATAATAATAATAATAATAATAATAATGTAAATCCACAACAATTATTAACACCGGAAACTGGCCAAAGTCCAAGAAGAGTATCTATAAGTAGTCAAATTTCATTAGAAGACATACCTGATCTTGATGATTATGATTTAGACGGTAATGAAGATATTGCTGAATTTAATATATCTGAAGATGAGGGTGCTAATGATTTTGCGTCGAAATTCCGCCTAACACCAAGAAAATCCATTGATAGTTTACATGATGAAGAAGAAAGAAGGCATTTAGAAGCTGCATATTCAATGAGTAATGGTAATGAAAATGCTAACTTTGTAGAAGAACCAGAAGATATGGATAATAGGCATCATAGTGACGTTGATAATGAAATTGGAAATTCAAGTGAAGAAGAAGATAGTGGCAATGAAGAAGATGACGACCATGAAAACGTTAACATTCATAATCAACTTCCACCACAAGGTCCAATTCCAAATATTTCCTATACTGATAATTCATGTCCAAATTGTAATGTATTGCTTGCTCAAGTTGATCAACATCTTGAAGAACGCGCTTACCTTAAAAGAGATCTTTCTGCTCTCGCAATATCTTTATCAGAAGAACAAGGACTTCGTGCACAAATACAAGCAAATAAAGAATCTTTAGAGCAAGAAATTGATGATTGGTTAAATGCAATGTTTGAAAAGGTTAACCAGATGGTGTTTGATGAAGCCAATACTCGTGAAGATATTGAATTGCTTAGTAGAGAATATAAGGGAAAATTTGAAAATTTATTTAAAGGCTCTAATTCCAGACAAGACAGATTACGAGAATTGAAATTATTATTGGTCCATTTAGATTCAACTAAACAAAGACAAACTGGCACAGCAATACATAATGGACCTGGCGCACTGAATAGAAATTCTATAGCTCGTCGAAGTGTAATGTCAAATTCACCAGTTAATAGTCCTAGAGGTAGTAGAATTTTCGGTAACTTTGGCCACATGTCACCAAGCATCTTTTCCAATTCATCTGAAGAATACTCTTTGACAAAGGGCAAACGTATTTATATTGATGGTGTGCTATTTGAAGAATTTCAAGAGTATGTTAAATCATTTATCACGTCACCTGCACCCAACACATCAACTCCTACACATTCATTTATGAAACGTTGCATGGTGGAAGACATTCAACCTTGTCTTTTTGAAGGAAGTACAGGTTGGAAATCACCATTCTATAAGAGAAGATTGTTGGATGCTATAATGAAAAACCAATGTGAAATTCAAGCAATCTATTATAGTTCTTCTAATTCAGTGCCAACCACACCATTATCAAGTCAATTCAGTAATAATTCCGTAAACCGTTCCAATAGTTATCATGAGCCTCCACCAGCGCCCAAAGTAAAATGTGGACTTTGTGGTCATTTGAGAAGTTGTGATTTCCGTATGAGATTGTCAGGACCGGATGCTGCAATTCCACCATCAACCACGACAATGACACCATCAGCTCAATCATCAAGATTCTCGATAAACTCTAATCCAGGATGGATTCCGCTTGATAGATTTTGTAGAGATCGTGTTGTGGCAGTTTGTGATTTCTACTCTTATCTATCACATTTACGTCAAGGATTACTTAACAATTCTCCAGTATGGGGAATGTATAAACAGTGTTTGAAATACCGTAGAAGAATGGGAATGTCACGTGTTGGAAGTGTTAGTATGTTTGAAGAAGAAGAAAATATTGCTAATGAACTTTTAAATAATTCTGAAATAGAAGCAATGGTTGTTCTTGTTCATTAATTATTACATTTTTAATATTATTATCAAAGAAACTAATTGTGAAATAATGTGATTATTGTTATTATTATTATTTCATTTCTTTATTAATAAAATTAATCAATAATCAATAGATAAAAATATCAATACGCATGAACACATACATGTGTGGAACAATATTTATACATATTAATACTCTTTATATTCATAAAAAAAATAATATTTTCTTTCTTTGTATTTTAAAAGGATTTATTTATTCATTATCACTATAATTGGGCTTATTTATTATTATCATGATGTTTTATACATATATCTATATATATTGTTATTAAAATTTGGATTTTTATGAAAAGAGTTTTTATTTTAGTTTTTTTAAGTTTGTATATTTAAGATAGAAAAAAAAGGAAAAATTTTTTTATAATTATTTATTATTATTATAAATAAATAGATTACTAATTGAAGACGTTAAACATTCCAAAATATCAAAATTGATTTAAAATAAAATGAAATGAAATAATAATAATAATACTTTATTATTTACAAATTTTTAAATTGTTTTACAAAAAAATCACTTGTTAAAATTTTTCCTGCTTTAAATTCACTCTATGTTTAATAGTAGAAGAAGACTTTGATGAAATCACAGGTGACACGACTTTTTTAGTCAACGAATTGGTTGGTGGAGTACTTAATTGGGCTTTTTTAGACCCAAAAAACTTTGTAGAAGGATTTGTCGTTGTTGGTGACGATGATGATGATTTAAGTTTAGGTGATATAGTAGAAGGCCTATTTATTGAATAAGGTTGTGAAGTTGCTCTAGCGATTTTCAAGTTAGAAATTGAACTTTTCTCTTTGTTTAATGAAGAAGATGAAATAATTCTTTGGTTTCCCGACATTGATGATGACGACGATGACGACGATGATGACGATGAACTAATTCTCCGGTTTTTCGACATTGATGGTGTTGATGATGACGAAATCATTCTCTGGTTTTTCAACATTGAAACAGCATGCGACGAAGATGAAGTTGATGAAATAGTTCTCCGATTTTTCAACATTGATGCAATATGAGATGATGATGATAATGATGATGTTGACGACAATGACGACGATGATGATGACGATGATGAAATGATCCCTTGATTTCTCATAAAAGGCGATGATAATTGAGGTTTTAAAATTTTTGTGTTAACAATTACATTTGATCGAGGTATCGTTGGATAAGGTTTATATCTTAAATCTAATTTTTGTGATGATTTAGAAATTGATTTTATCGCAGAAGAAAATGTATTACTGCTACTATCATGGCTATAAATCTTTGATGATGGTGATGGTGATGGTGATGATGATGATGATGATGATGACGATGATGATGATGACGGTGATGGTACCTTAAATCCACCTTCTCGTTGCAACCAAGTGATTGGAACACTCATACTGTATTTTTTTAGTTTATTGTTGTCGTTGTAGTTTGTTTTTATCATTTCTTTTCGTAGTTTTTGCAACGGGGTTAAATTTTTCTTTGCTAAATTATCGAAAAACTTATAAATATATGTATATAAATTTTAAATATGATTAAATATACATTACCATTTCTATTTTTTGAAGGAATGAATGATATCATTTTTATTGATCTTGCTTCTCTTTCTTTCACTGTCGCAGCTACTGATGCTCTTAATTTCGCTCGAGCTTTCTCAAATTTAGCATTTTGTTCTTTCAGAAGATGCTTTAATGATTTATGAATTAACCGATTACAATCAATCAATCAATCAATCATCGATAAAACATTGATTAAATCAATAAAAGAAATAAAATCACGTCTAAAAGATTAAAATTTAAATTCTTACAAAGTAGTATTTCCGCCAATCAACAGATTTTTTCTTTTTCCTCTCTTGGTAAGCTTTTTCATTTAATTTTTGGCAAAACATCTCCCATAATTCTGTTTAAAAATTTTATCATTGCAAGAATATTTAATACGTGCAATACATATATATTTTATAAATAAAGATAAAAGCTTTTACCCATATCGTCTTTTGCAAGTTGCTATATATTGAATGCACATATTCAATTTGTATATTTTAAAATAAAATAAAATAAATAAATAATTTTTTATAGATGAGTCTTATTGCTAAAACAAGCAAACCAAAAAATTTTACTTACAGGACTTTTTTCTTCGAATTCAAGGATTTTTTCAGGCTTAAAATCCATCAATATTGTTCTTATTAAACGGTAAGGTACAGAACCTACCCCATCGAGAACTACAAAATATTTACGTAGTTAATTTTTTTTTTGAATTGGTCATTTTTACCTTATAATAAACAAGAATTAAAAGCATAAATAAAACTTACAATAACGACTTTTCCAAATGGTCGCTTTACACAAATTAAACAAAGAATCCACCTTTGAATCCATTGAAAGTTCGAATTGGTTTAAAAAATTTAAAAAAATTGAAATTGTATGTATGAATCCGGAGGGTGAATTATTCTATTTATATGACGCATCAGTGTAACAAATAAATTACTTTTGAATTATTATTTCCATTCCAGAAAAAATTGCTTAGTGCATGAAATGACTAGTACAAATTTAGAATATATTCCATTCAAATTTGATTGGATAATTTCCCAAGACGTAATAAATGAGATAAAACTTTGCAAATTCTCGACACGTGCAGGAGAGCTTGTTCCCATAAGTACCGGGAATAGATGAATATGTACACACATTAACATGTTAATATTAATATTAAATTAATATGTAGTTCTGCCAATATCGTATATTTTTAGGAAACTCGATGAATGTAAGTTTTATTTAAGAAATATCTAAAAGAAAGAGTCAACAAATAAATTTTTTTTTAGTAAATGGAAATTTGAATGATTGTAAAAAATTACACTACATCCTGTCATGTGATAAATTTTTTTTTTTGTTTTGGGGAGTATTGGAGTTTTAATATAAATGAAAATTTCACACCCCTACATCCCCGAGAGGGACCTTTTTTTATGATATTCTTTAAAAATATGTTCCCTGATATTTATAACGGAAAATTATTTTAGTACTTACCATTTTTTATACAAAGTCGTTAATTACAGAATTAGTGAGCGACATTTCCCTTGCAGATCCTTATTTAGAATTCATAGATGGATCATTTTTAAAAAAACGTTGAAATTAATTCAAAAACCAAAAAAGAAACTCGACCGAAAATGGGACCATTCATTAATATATTTGGTTGGGCTTTGTAGATTATTGCCTAACAGAAAACATCACAATAGGCAGGGCCCCGAAAACTATAGATAAGCCTGTTGTTATATAATTTTGACCCAAGCCAAGGTTAAGTATTTGACCTTGTTGTATATATGTGAAATTGAAATCTATAATTAAAATTTGGGGTGAGGTGTTTGGATATGAAAATTCTGATTGGCTAATTTGAATTTCACGTCCGTGAATTGCAAATTCACAATAAATTTTAATTTTCATGCACAACAACCCTAATGTTTGCAATATTAATATACAAACCAAGGGCAATGGTCTTCGTTTAAGCAGAAAGCCGCAAAATCGCAATATGAAGATTATATCTAAAATTGGTTAAGTGCTGAGTTTCTTTGTAAATCACGTGATTAGACGTTTTTTTATTTCAATTATCTTGTTTTACTGTTATTAAAAAGAATTTATCAATATTTCGTTTTTACATACATTTCATTAAATTTGGTGCTAACTGCTGAATTTGTTGGCTCTATGGAAACAGGTCAGGGTTTATATTCGAATAAAACAAACAATTCGAATAAGAGTTATTGTAATGGAAAGGAGGGCTAAATCGTTCGTTAAACTTTGACCAATCAAATTCGAAATATAAGTTACGTAAGGTAGTTATACAAATATTGAGCAGAGCTAAATTTACTCAAACTGGTTTAGCTTCAAACCTGTTATATATATAACACTCTCAATTTATACTAGAAATATATTTATCACGTGGTAGGTTCTGATCAAATTATTAAGATGCTTTTTGATGCAGTAACATATTTCCTGAATCATTCCTTTATTCAACTCATTTTATTTGGTATTAATAAGTGGAACTCCATCTGACATTTTGAAGTATTTAACAGGATTGATAGAATTACAAACTTTCTCAACCATCTTGAACTTAATACAACATTTCTGAACTTTATTGTTTCCTCGTCCACTCCTGAAATAGTTCTGTTGTATTTGAATGATTGATGATGAAGACAAGTCGGAAAGAGATACAGATGTTATTATTATATAATAGTTTACAATATGTTACGCCTGTACCCATTTCATGACAATGATTCAATTCCTTTCTTGTACCTTCCACACACTGTCATCATTATCACCAAACATTCATTGCTTGAATTTGACATTCTTATAAGGAGGGGAATCATTATAAAAAATGAGATGCCAGTACTTTCTGAACTTGCTGCTAAAACTTATGTCAATTTCTACAGCAGGAAGAAATTGGCCAATATTTTAGTGATTGATCATTATAACAAATTTACCACAATTCAATAAACTTTAGTTTGTGCCGAACCCTTTAAAAAAATCTTCTTCCTCTTTGATGCAAATAAATACATAGATTCCAATGAATATAAATTGGATAAATATCAATAGTGAATATAGAAAAGAAGAAAGAAAAAAATGATTTGTAATTGTAAGATTAGAAATTCGAAAACCCAAATTCCAATTCAAAATATCAATCATCCATTTACAATTTATGGCTCTATAATTTATAATTTACCATTTTATACAATTACAACAGAGATATTTTTTGTAATAGAATTTTAACAAAATATTACAGTAGTAAGAATGTTTATTCTACAATTAAACTAGATCAAAAAATTTTTAAGAGAAATTATCTTTCTTATGTGATTATTTTTACTTTTATAATAATTTATAGTAGATATCATTATTATTGCTAATTTGGATTTGGTTGTTCTTACCTTGGATGAAATCATCATCAATGGTGGGTAATTAGAATAAATAAATAAGATAGAGTGAACTTATACAATCAATTTGCGCAATCTAATTTACCATCTAATCTAATGACATGTTATTTATAATATTATTTAGCATCACATTAGACAAATTCAAATATTATTGTTTCCAGACCTCATACCGAATCAGCAGTTACCCCAATAGAAGCGCGAATAATTCTTGAGTATATTTTATAGCCAGAGGTAGAGTTGCCAAGCATTTATTAAGACATATTATATTTGTATTTAATTTGTATCATGATAATTTAATATGAATTAATTATATATCTCTAATTTGATCTTAGTCACGTAATAGCCTTCTTGGCTCAGTTGGCAGAGCGTCTGCCTTGTAAGCAGAAGGTCACCAGTTCGATTCTGGTAGGAGGCAATAATCAGTAACTGATTATCTGGTCAAATTTTTTTTTTGAAAAAATTTTTTTAACAGAATAAATGGGTGTTAATTCAAAGGTAATAAACAAATAAACGCATATAAAAGATAATTTCTTATTTTATCACAATTATAATAATTATAGTTGCAATTACAATATTAGTTGGAACATATTTCATTATTTTGTGAAAAATATCCACAAATTGCAAATTGTCTTATGCTCGTTTATCTTGATTTAACTCTGGGTAATTTCCTTTGTTATTGATAATTTTTTAATTTAGATTTTCCAGTAATACTAATTTCCAATGATTTCTAATTTTTTATTAAGTTAAATCATGGTTCGAAGTTAATGTTGAAGAGGTTGAACAATTACAAAGATGTATTATAAAGGGAAAACAAAATCAAGAAGTAAAGTTCTTTATATATTAGAAGAGATAGCAACTTAATTAATTAATTTAGATTTTTTTATCAGTCAATGTATGAAATAATTTTACCTTGTTCATCAGCGGAAGAATGGTCAATTGATCGGTAAATAATATAATCAATAAATAATACATTTCTTTATATAATTATTATTCAAGGTTTTGGTAAATTTTCAATTTTCAATTATCGCCAGATTAACCCAATTCTTTTCTTCATTTCCAACAACAACAATGACAACATCTTCAACAGTCGAGGAAGAATCTTCGCACAAAAAGTAATTAAATATTTTTAATAATAATAATAATTAATATAATAGTAATATTTTATTTGCAATAATTCAACAATTAATTACTAATAATGCACTTGTTACATCGAAACAGTGTTATTCTTGCGATCACTTTCACTGATTCTACAATTGTTTACTATAAACTTCATGAAGGCATCGTTCCTCCTATAGATAAGAATAATAATAATGAAGAGAATGATGATGTTGATGACAATAAAGATGACATTGATAAATATATATGAATCGAGGTAAACTTAAAAGATATTTATTATTTAATTTAAATATTTCGGCTGTGTATTAGGTTTGCACTTAAAAAATTTATTATTGTTGTTATTAGTGATTAAACAGTTCAAATAAAAATTTCAAATTAAAATATTTTATTTGATTATTTAATAATTTATTCTCTTTTTATATTTTTATTCAATCCTATTTTTCCTAATACCCAACGTTTAATCCCATAACTTTTATTTGCTAGGGTTGATGCGTTTTCTATTTTCGATGATGAAGGTGATTTTACGAATGAAATACCTCCATCATTTGAAACTATGGCATATGACATTGAAGGAAGATAAGGTGGTGATGATAACGATGATGATGGTTTCTTATTATGTGAGTTCATTGGATCTGCTGCCACAATCTCTTCTATTGAGGGTGATGCTAAACTAAAATTTTGACAAAAATCAATTAGATTATTATTATTATTATTATTATTATTATTATGAATATGAAGATTAAAGAGAAGTTGATAATTTACAACTTAAAACCTCCAAGAACCGGCTCAATTCTACTTGATAAATAAAAATCTCCTGGTCCCGTTAATTTTAGAAATTCCTATTTATAAAAATAATAAACATTAAAAATTCTCATTTCAAAATAAATTATTTATTAACAAATAACTTACTGGACCACCAAAAGCCCATTTTCTCGTTGCAACAGAAAATTTACAAATTCTATTTAACATAGGCCTTATTGTTGGACTGCTTTTAATTGAATCTAGGAATGATGAAGATGTCTCTGATATTTTTTGACTGATTCTATTTACAAGTTTATTTCTTTGGATAGATGATGATTTAATTAATGAATTAGATACTATTGGATATGTTTTTGAGTTCCATGCAACAAGATATCTGTAAGAAAAGATATACATATAAAGGTTAATAAAAACTATTTTATATTAATATATTAATATTTATTAATATTTATTTATATTTAAATACTTTGCATTCACCAAATAATCATCATCAGGATTCAGTACTAATTTATGAATGGTTCCATAATTTGAAATTACTAATGTACCTCTACCAGTAACACGGTATGCAAATGCATTCAATGCCCCCTAAATCAATAAATAATTATAATAACAATGTATGCATTAAGAATCTTTAAAAAATCCTTTAAATTGTTGTTATTATTTTTTAGTATTTTTAAAAATTTCTAACCATTCCACGAATATGACCAATATTAATTGAAACTCTTGGACCTCTTGCAAGAAAAGCATTTTTACGAACATAATATTCCGAATCGCCATCCATTTCAATCTTTGCGATATCAGATAAATTTTTTGGACTTAAGATCACATCACCAGGGTCAGGACCTGTTGAGAACTAAAATATATATAATGAAAATGATGGCGAAGATTTTTTTTTTTTATTATGTTAGAGTAGTTGGAAATTGAATTATATATAAAACAACTCTTTTTTTGTTTCTAAGTTTAAATAAATACTTTATGATAGATTAAAGATCCACCAGCAAATTTTCTACCTAAAGCAATTAATATATTTCCTTCAGTTGTACGTTCAACGTGTATCTAAAAGAGAATAAAGATAATTTTAATATATATTTACATTTCAATGTAATCAATCAATCAATCAATAAATCAATAAATCAATTCATTAATTATTAATTCATTCACACTTTGCTTGATACAGATATGGCAGCTCCAGGAAATGCAAATATCTCTGACCTTGGTGGAATTTTAACCAAAAGTAAAGCACCCAAAGTACCTGGAGACACAACTTCGAATTTTGGATCTGGTATAGGGTGATGTTTTGTCCATTGAGTGGTGGAATTTATTCCTTATTTAATTTATAAAATATATATTATCTAATTTTTAATATCAATTATCTAAATATTATTATATAATTAAAAATTATTATTATATTATTATAATTGATAAACTTAAATTATTACCAGGTTTTACAGAAGTAATGACACTTTCATAAGTTTGATTATTATCATTAGTAACATTGGTTTTTTCATTTGTTTTTGTATTATAAGCCAAATCAGCATATGAGCGTATGATAAAACTTTTAAATTTTAATACAACGGAAATGTTTTTTTTAATAATTAAATTACTTGACATTTTTAATTTCTATGAATCAAAAAAAATCTTGATAAAATTTTTAAACCAATGATGATGATTGGCCAATTAATTTTCGATTTTTTTTTTTAAGTCATTTTGCGATTTTTTTTATTTCAATATTTAATTTATTATAAATTTCAATATGACTCAATTCATTTAACGGCATTAATTGTCTGATAGCAACACCATTATCACCACCACCAAGTAAAGTGTTGAATTTTTTAAATAGAATTGGTAAAACTTGTTCCACGCTGATTTCTTGATTTGTTTCTCCTCCTCGTTTGTTAAGTTCTTTTGTAATCGAAGTTACACTTTTACCCTCAATCCCACAAGGAATTATGTGATTAAACCATCTTAAATCTGTATTACAATTAAGTGCAAATCCATGCGATGTTATAAATCTTTGAACTTGAATACCTAAATCATTATGTCAAGTTAATTATAATGAGATGAGCGTCGGTGAGAAGTTAATTAGTTAATTGCCATTTTATATTTATCATGATAATAACTTTAATTACCAATTGCACATATTTTCTCATTTTCAACCCAAACGCCAGTATCTTTGGTAGTTCTGGCTTTAATTTTATATTCAGAGCATGTATCAATAATCAATTTTTCAATTGATGCAACATAAGATCTTACCGACAACTAATAAAACCAATTATAAAGATCCATATTAATATTATATTGTTGGCATTATTCAGAATCTTCGCATAATGAATACCTTGAAATTATTTAGATTCAGTATCGGATAACAAACTAATTGACCAGGCCCATGAAAAGTAATCTTACCACCCCTCAATGTCTATTAATGGATTGATTGATTAATAGATTGATTGATTTTTTGTTGATGATTAAAATCAGTAAATATTTATTTATTAACTCTAAAATATTCTGCTCCTAATTTCTTTAATCGAATTTCTTCATCTTCTTCACCATCATCTTTCACTAGTCTTCTTCTTCCTACTGTATAAGTTGGAGGATGTTGCAGTAATATTATTATATCAGATGAAGGTTCATTAAATTTTTTATGATGCTCAACAAGAAAATTTTGTAATTCAAGCCCTTTTGAATATGAAAATTTGGAAAAATAAACATATGGAAGAATTAATTTATTATTGTTGTTGACATTGTGTTTTTCTATAATTAAGGAATAATTCCTAATTTTTACTAAAAAAATTTTTTTAAAGTGTAAACGAGACAAAATCATTATTAATTTATTTATGATCATCAAAATCACAGGTTTAATCGAAAAAAAATTTTATCATACGAAAATAAATCATGGTAATATTATTTACATTCAGTCATTGTACTTCAAGGGTTAACCAACCTAAAAGAACAATAATATTATTATACAACATAAATGGGATTTCAATGATTAATATTATAGTTAAATTCATATTCGATAAATTCATAATCGATAGTTATAATCATAATAAAATCTCGATAATCGATAAAGTCATAAAAATGAATTCAAGCTTTCGAATTAAGTATAGAAATACAGATGATAATAAGATTTCAATTGACAAAAAAAGAACAATAACAATTTATCTTTTCTTGAAAAACGTGGGATTTGTGAAGAGCTTTTAGCTAATAATAATTTGGAATTATTTTTTTTATTGTCTTTAAAGTCATACATTTCCTATTCTCATTATATTATGAAATTAAGGAGCGGCATAATTCGATAAATTCTGTACCAGACCTTATGAATTTAACGAGCTTTGATATCTAGCTTTGGCAAACATTACACAAATACTCATGCATTATGCCGTCGTTGTGGTAGAAGAGCCCTTCACAATCAAAAGAAAACATGCGCTCAATGTTGATGTCCAGCTGCAAAGACTAGCAGTTACATGTTTTTAATTAAATATAATGATTTATTATCTATTTTATGCTTTAGAGAAAATTAAAGTGCGCTGTATAATTTAGATAATTGGAGTGAAAGGCTAAACATAGATGTGCTGGTCGTATGAGATACTTAAAACTTGTGAATGACGTTTTAAGAACGGCTTTCGTGAAGGTACGAAATGGTTTTAAGGAGAGAGAAAGAAAGATAATTGTTGATTTTTTAGTTCCAAAAAATAAATCTATAAATTGAATTAGAAATCTTTTATATATAAATATATAAATACATAATTGTTAGTTTAATTTAAATAAAAGAAAACGAATACTTAATGATAGTGGCAGTTGTGACAGTTATACAATTTAACAAGTGGAAAACATATAACGAATGACCAATTATTTTGTTAAATCTCCTTGACCAGGAGAGGCTCCCATTGGATCTTTCGATATTAAAAACGTGCTGAAGAAGTGTTGTCCAGTATATATTGGCTAGTGTTGACTGGTTGTGTAGGTGTATAGGTTCTTGAGAATGGTGGTAGGTAAAATGGAATGGGAAGTTGAGAACAGTCTTGATACACAGCGATAGAAATGGCAGCTGCTGAATGAGAATCCCGAGGCTTTGTAGTGTATCCACGCTTGAATGAAATACATGATGGGTTGATACACTCAACAGCACAATCGTGCAAGTCTTCTGGAAACACCATACACAAGCTTGTGAGATTCGGTACTCATTAATCATTTCAACAGAGCAGCATAGAAGATGCTGCTCTCTCATCTTACCACTACTTCTGCAAGCATGACCTTTTATACAAGAATTAACTTCTGTATCAGCTGTGCCAATTAACATAACTGGCAGGATAAATAGATGTGACATAAAAGATACTTTCGGTAGGAATAAATCCAAGAATATCATGAATGTGAACAAAAAGGAACTTAATGTTGTCAATGGTTAACCTTTACATGAGATATTTAACACTCTTCATGTACTTGCAGATTTTTCGATCGAAGAAAGAAAATTTTCTCTTTTTTATTCCACTCTCACACTTCCCAAAATTCAACCATAGATACACCTATTTCTATTCTAATTTCTGTTGCAATTTCAATTGCAAGTTGCAAATTGGTAAAAAATTTTGTTTCTGAACTTTATTAAATGAAATCTTTTAAACAACATTAATTGCGTGATACCGTTTTCATTTAAAATTGTTAATCTATTAACTATATTAAGAATTACATTTGCCATTATGTAAAAAATTGGAAATTTGTGCAAAACATTCTTCAAAATTACATTATTTAAAGATTTTTAAAGATGAATCACAATAATCATTATTATGGTAACAAATCACAAAATAGTTCAAAATCAAGAAAATATAATAATGATAATAATAATGGTAACAATGATAACAATTTAGAATTACAAATTCATCATCAACCTTATCAACAACGTTATCAACAACAGCAGTGTCGTCAACAAAATATTCAAAACAGACATCGACAGCAACATTGTCGACAACAACCTTATCGACCACAACATTACAGATTTAAAGTAGATTCAAGAAATTTACATCGTCATGATGTTAATGGTGATGACGATGGCGATGGTAGTGATGGTAAAAGAGAAGAAGTTGGACAGCACCAATTTGAACCTGATTCATATTATAATAACAATAAAACATATCCAAGAAATGGTGAGAGAATGAGATATGATGAACACAACAGACATTATAATAATAGTAATAATAATGAAAAAGAACCTCACTTTGCTACAATTGATTATTACGAAAACAATGGTAATAATAATATGTATTATTATAATTATTATTATGAAGATTGTAATCCATATAATGAAAAATTATATTATAACAAATATAAAAGGGACAGATATGAAATTAATAATAATACTCGTCATATTAGAAAACGTAATTTAAATTCATATTATGAAAAATCAAATTTAAAAAATGATTATTATCACTTTACTAATAATAATAGTAACAACAACAACAACAACAACAACAACAACAACAACAACAACAACAACAACAACAACAACAACAACAACAACAACAAATTTGATGATAATATCGCTTATGAATCTGATTATATCAGATCAAATGATATATGCAAAAATAGATTGCGTGGTAATGATTATAGAAACATAAGAAGACATGACGATGGATTACAACAGAGTTACAAAAGACCGCCGTTACATTTAAGATTTAAAGATGATAACAAATATCCTACATATTATTATCCTAGATCAAGATCCCCCAGCTATCAAAGATCTATAGATTACATAAAAAGACAAAGTCTCACCCCTTCATCTCCATCATCAATATTAAGACAACATGAATTTGACGACTACTTAAAAAATCGGGGATCGTTAACAACAACGCCATTAACTAAAGCGTCAACTACACCGTTAAAAAAAAAAGATTTAGAATTTAATATTATAACAACAACAACAACAAAAAAAAAACTATCTGAAAGTTATAATCAAATCTCGTCGAAACCTTCCATTAGGATTGAGAAACCTCCACTAATGCTTATAGTATTAGATCTGAATGGTACATTGGTTTATCGTGATGGTGTGCACAGACTGATTCACCCACGTCCTTACATTTCCCTTTTTAAAAATTATTTATTTCGAAACGAAAATTTTAATATTATGATTTGGTCATCAGCACAGAGAATTAATGTGAATAAAATGGTGAAAGAAATTTTTGGAAATGATGATAGTAACAAATTGCTTGAAATTTGGTCCAGAGATAAATTTCCCTTAACAAACAAAGAGTATCATTCCAAATGTTTAACAATAAAAGATTTAGAAATGGTTTGGGATGAGTTAAACAAATCTCTGAAAAATAAAAACATACAACCATCATCTTCATCGCCGTCACCACAGTCATCATCAATATTATGGGATCAGACTAATACAATATTAATAGATGATTCACCACTTAAAGCTCAATTACAGCCTTATAATGCGATACATTTAAAAGAATTTAATCGAGAATTATTCCATAATGGAAATGATAGTGAATTATTAAATGTTATTGAATATTTAGAATTGTTAAAATGTCAAAGTAACATCAGTCATTTTATAAAACATCGTCCTTACAACAGCAATCGAAATTATGCGAACCATCAGAACGAAATAAATATTGAATCAGTAAGTGATGATACAAGAGCTATGGCTGACAACTACGAAGAAGAGGATAACGAAGAAATAATTGAGTTAGATTTAGACGAAGAAGATTTATAGCTATCTATTATTTATTTATCAAAAAATATATTTTACCCTCGTTAGATTCCTGGAGTTCTAAACTTTAATTTGACAGAACTGAGTTTTTGCAGTTAAAAGTATTTTTGTATAACAAATATTTTTGGATCATCTGTTAACATGGAGGTGCATTCCTTTTAATTGGCTAATTTTAATTTACAAAATTGCTTAATTAAAAAAAATTTTATCACTCATTATATTAAATCTAAATTATAGTTGTTTGCCGAAATTGTTTGGAAAAAATAATTACGGAAATCATTTTGACTTTTCATATGAATGAACATAAAATAACTATGCTATTTGATTAAGAATTCAAATAATTTCGGACGTAATTTGGACAATTATTAGGATTAATCTCGGCTACTACGAAAAACTATTTCGGCATTTCGGATTCGACAATGATTTATTGATGGTTCTTTTTATTCTTTGTATTCTTTGGAGTGAAACCAGTTGACCGAATGAATGCAAGTGGTGTCTCCTGTAAGTTATTACTATTAACATATTAACAGACACAATCAGCCAACATTGAATAATAATTGAGATCTTTGTTTATAATTATATGATTGATCACCCTCCAGCTTAATTCTGACAAGCTTAATATGTAGACTATAGATAAATTCCGGCAAGCCCTTTTGAACTATATATCATTTAAAGAACATGACTTTTTATGGGTAAAATACCAAAAGTTATATGAATATATTGGGTAAAGTCTTTAAAAGTCATATGCCAATGTGGATAAAAAAAATTTAACTTTAAAAAGAAAATAAGGCCAACTTGAGAGGATTATCGATATCTTCAGTAATTTGTTTGTTGGGATGCTATTTTCCTAACGTAAATAGTTTCCTGTCGATATGGTCTCTCTGCTTCATAGATGATTTGACGTTTCAACTTTCTCCAATATTTTGCCAGAAAATCTTTTATCCCACACAGTGATTCTCGATTGGAATCACTAGTATTATCTGGGCCATTAATATAGATAGTAATAATAAAATATTAACGTTAGTAGAGAAAGTAACTTTAAAATTAAAAATTCTATTATTTTAATTTTTCTAAAATTGCTCGGGAGTCCTCGTTTGATATTATAAATATAAAACGTCATTAGCTTCCAAAAATCAGGTCATCAGTATATTCTTGAATCAAGGCCACACGCAATTCATAGAAGGTCTGTCCAATCCAATTACCAAAGTACCAAAAGCTGTTTAAAACTCGTGCGATCATAAAATGAATTCTCGTCTGCCACAACATCATACCATACTATGTGCCCAAGCCAGATGTCAGAAATCCTGTCTTATGGTATTAGTAACGAATTTATATCTTCTGTAGCTACAGTTTATGACAATAACAAGATGCAGAATCCTAAGCCAATTCTAGAAGAACTCTGTCAATACGAAACGTCCTTATTTTTTTCGTGCCAGACCTCTTCTTCCGGTTCTTCTAAATATTATTCGATTTCCAAAAGTTCTACAGCACTAATAGTAAGTGATGATGATATTTGTCGTGTTTCACGAATTGACTTTTAACAATTATACGAGTTGGTTCCTTTTTTATTATTTTTTTTTAAAGATGGACATCAACCTTTATTGCAACCTTCACAGTAAGTACTTTGAAATTTATGTGTTAACTCGCTTTTATTTTGAAACAAATAACTTAAGTGTTCATTATTTCTAAAATAAAAATGATATTTATTTTCAAGTAATTAATTTATAAATGTTGTTCTTTAGATTTTTGTTTTAAATAAATCCGCGGATACATCAAAAATTAATCAACTGTTCAAATATTATTATAATATAAAATTACTAACAATTTTCTCTTAATGGTTACGGAAGGTTTGATGCGGTAATTATCATCGTAATTTTTTTAATTATAACTTTTTATTTTCTATTAATAATTTATGTAATTAACTAGGAAATAAATGATAAACCATCATCACTTGTAATATTAAATATCAAATTCTGAGAGTAATTTACACAAAATCATGAACTCTGTATTATCTACTCTAAATGATAATATGGAAGGAGATAAACATGCAGAAGTTCTAAGTGGGTAATTAGACTATACTTTTATTTTAGCAACAGTGTACCTTGCTGATTTAACAAATATTTTAAAGAAATTAATCAATTAGAACATTTGTGGAATGCTTGCAACAGACAAAGTGAACATTGTATCACCTAAAGATTCCAGGATCCAAAACTATTTACAAACATTTGTAGTAAAGGAAATGTCAATTGGCTAAAATATGATATTTGAAATATTATTAACTAATTTGAGAAAACAACAAATCGCGATTAAGATTACATTATCTTTCCTACAATCAATAAAAATGGGTTTTTTTAAAAAATGATGAATAGAAGTTCTTTTTTGATTCCTGGTTTTTTAGATGCTAATAAACTTGATGGTTAATTATTAGTTAAATCAGAAATTGGTTGCGACTTTCTTCCCTTTTTGTCGACCCATTCAAAAGTGATTCAAGACACTTACTGTCATCGGCTACACTTTTGTAAACGGATAGTAACGCGTATATAAATTCCTTCACATCATGTAGCTCCAAAGAATTGTATGGAACCTGAATTTCAGAATGAAATGGTACCCTCCCAATTGGGGAAAAAGCCTCATCGTAATAAAGAAAAGTAATATGTGTATCCAAGAATAAAATTACACACGTGTATACCTTGCATGTAAATATTAATATGTAAATTTAATTTTTATAAGATAAAAAAATCCTTGCCAATTAATTGAATGTAGATGAATGTGTCGATTTCCATCACAGTTCATGTGCCTTCATCAATTTTTTTGTTGTTGTGGATCTGTTTCTCTTTCTGATTTAAAAGCTTACTGTAAATATTAAAAAAATTATAAATATTAACTCTAGTAAAAATAAATTATTCAAATGATATTATTAATTCACATATTCTGCTTGCTATGTAAAAATAACATTTGTCTATTCTGCCAGTGTCTTTTGGGATGGAAACAAAAAATTCCTCGCTGATACTTTTCCCAATAAACGTTTCTATTTAATAAATAATCGATTTGGACAATTTTTTGTAAGTTCAATCATAAAATCTGCATAATAATGCAACTGGATCATGGAAATCAATAATATAAGATAAAGCTGGTATGTCATGCGCAAATTCTTTAATGTCAAAATATTGCCATATTAATTTGAAACTTCCAAGGACTTTATTATATAATGCGTTTGAATCTAAATCATTTTAAAAAATAATATTCATTTAATTAACAAGTATCCTATATGATTTAATGGCAAATAAATATTCTTCAGTAATATATTATTTTAATTTTTTGTAATAGGATTGTTCGATGAATGTACTAATTCGTTGGAAGAATGTGTTTTAGAAACCTTTTTTAATTATTATTATTTATTTATAAGTATAGCAAATAATTGTCTTTTTATAATAAAACTAGAATGACGATGAGTTGCAATGATTGCAACCACCACCACTATTCTTTTAAAAATAATAATAACGTCTTGTCTTATAAAAAAAGAATTATTTGATCGACAAACACGTACATACCAATCATTTACTATTACTAAATCTCGGTATAATGTATAAATCTAGATTTTTAATATTAATTTAAAGTTTCCAAATTTCCATTTAAATGTTTTTGCCCCCCATTAATTCACGAATTGTCCTGTTTTTTGGTGGTAGCTTTGATATAATAAATTACTATTATTATACTTTTGAAGATAGTAGAAAAACAGCAATGTATAATATCATGATGCCATGTTATATATAATAATAATAATAATAAATTCAGTGTTAGAATTTCGAAAGGTCATTTATATTCAACCAGTGATAATATATATATATATATAACTGGCCCATATATTCAGCACTAATTCATAATACAAATACAATGTAAATAATAAGCATCACACCAAGACAACCAGCAAACATCATATATAGGATGATCTAAAAATTTTTGATGACATTTCAATAAATCACCTTGATTTACTATAAAGTAGCATGCCAGATTCAGATTTACAAATTCAACATCAAAAGCAAATGAACATATTTTTTTAACAAGGCGTAATGAAAATTAACTTTAACTATGGAAAAATATTGCGAGTCTTGGATTGGCAAATAATCTGTACACCTTCTGAAGTCACGAAATCTGGTACTTCGATGTTAAATATGATTAATCTAAAATTGCTGCTATTTGATTCTATTCAAAAGTAGTCAGTCTTTTGTCATGTGCCATTGAAAGTAAAATCGTCCAATTAAAACTATATTTATCAAAGTTGCACAAGTAGCACAGCCATCTTCACGAAGAAGGCTTATACTTTTTTTTAATATTTAAAAATTAAAAATGTTTTTTTCTTTTTTATTTATATTTTATGAACATTTCTAATTATTAATCAACAAATAGTAATAAAATAGGAACCATAATATCCATATACATATTTTTATAATGGAACAGTTAAATAATATCACTATTTGGGATGTTAAAGATGCATTCAATAAAGTGTAATGATTTTGAAATTCATTCAATGGAAATTAAAATTAAAATTGGTTAATTAATTAATATTATTCTTATTCACTTTAGGAAAAATGTTGTAATGAATTATACAGAAATGGAAGCTAAAGTACGTGAAGCAACTAATAATGAACCTTGGGGTGCTAGTAGTACTTTAATGTTAGAAATTGCTCAAGCTACATATAATTAGTAAGTTGAAATATAAAATAAAGGATCATCTAATGGTTAATAATAAAGAAAATGACAACAAAGAATAATTTGATAAACGATTATTGATTGACCGATCTATCGATCGAACGATTTTATAATTATCATCTTCATATCGCAATTATTCAAAAATAATTACTTATTTTTTCATTTTTTTCCTCAAGTCAATGCTTCAACGAAATAATGACAACAATTTACAAAAGATTTATAGAAAAAGAAGCAAGATATTGGAGACAAATTTATAAAGTTAGATTTTTATGTTCATTGTTTCTAAAAATTTAAAATTTAAAAATAGCATCATCATTGATTATTATTGTTGTTACAGGCACTTCAATTGTTGGAATATTTGGTGAAGCACGGTTCTGAAAGAGTTGTGGATGATGCACGTGCACATATAGCTTCTATAAAAGTAATGAAAAGTTTTTCTTATTTTGATGAAAAAGGAAAAGATCAAGGCTTAAGTGGTAATTATAAAGATGGGGAGGGGTGCCAGTTGAAATGGATGACGGAGGGTGAAGGGGTGGAGGAGTGAAAATCAATCAATTATTTATAATAAAAAGCTTATCAATAAAATGTTTATAATGTATAGTACGAAATAGAGCAAAAGAACTTTCAGAATTGTTGAATGATGTAGAAAAAATTAGAGCAGAACGTAAAAAGGCTAGGGCTAATAGAGCAAAATATACAGGTGTTAGCTCAGGATCTGTTAGTTATGGTGATTCTTTCAGCAGAGGTGGAGGATTTGGTACTAATGGTTATTACGGCGGGGGTGGTACAAGTAATGGCATTGGTTTTAGCAGTGCTGGAGGAATTAATGGAAATTATAGTAAGCAATTTTATATAACATTATACTTATTAATACGTGAATAATAATAATAATAACAACAACAACAACGATAACAACAATAATTAAATTATAGGAAGTTATAATTATCATGATCAAGATGATTCTAATACACAATGGCAAAATGAACGAAATAGAGGAAGGTCTAGTGCTGATTCCAATAATAGGAATAGTTTAGGATCTTCTAGTAAATCAATAAATGTTAATACCAACAACAACAACAACAACAACAACAACAACGACAACAACAACGACAACAACAACGACAACAACAACAACAACACTGCTACAACAACTACTACGACATCTGCAAGTGATTCAATAACCCAAGAAGCCAATTTGTTTGATTTTGAAGATTCATTACCCAATATTAATAACGACTACGACAATGATGACAATAAACATATTAAAACAAATTCAACCGATTTTGGTAAACAATGCAATAAAAAACTTTTTCGCAAAATTTATTTAATTTATTTACTAATTTTTTTTTTTTTTTTGATTTTTTGTTTGTTTAGATGACGATTTTCAAGATTTTCAAAGTGCAACATCAACGTTTGTGCAATCCTCCTCTTCAAATTTAGCTGGTATTCAAACCAACTCTAACACTAAAAACACAAGTGCTGCACTACTACTAAAACCTTTACAGTTAAATACTACATTACCCAGCGTCAATAATACTAACAATAGTCACAACAACAACAATAATAAGTTGTTTGATGATCTATTTGCGTCTATTTCACCTACTTCACATACTAACAACAACAACAACAACAACAACAACAACAACAACAACAACAACAACGGTATCGCACAATTGAATGGAAATTCAATTATCTTTTCGAACAACAACAACAATAATAATGGTATCGCACAATTGAATAGAAATTCAATTATCCTTTCGAACAACAACGACAACAACAACAATAATATTAACAATAATTTCTTCACGTCAACTTCATTAAATCAAGCAAGTAATAATAATAAATCAATGTCAACATTAAAATCCGATGATATTTGGGCAGCAGCTTCAAGTCTCGTAAGCTTGGATTCTTTAGGCAAGGAATCCAACATTGATAGCAATAATAAAATCAATACTAATCATAATCATAATAAACCATCAATGAATTCACTTGCACAAGCTGAAATTTTATCATTGCCAGTTAAAGGTACATGGACGACTAATAATCACCTTAATAATAACTTTAATAATTATAAACAACAACAACAACAACAACAATCTCAAGACCCGTTTGATTTATTATTTTAATATTATAAATGATATTTCTACTAATAATAAACAATATATATAAATATATATATGTATGCAAATTTATTATTTTTTTGTATTATTAATTTTTTTTTTGGTAGAAATTTAAAAAATAAAAATTTTTTATTTAATAATTTTATTGTTTGTTATATGCGTGTTTAATAAAACGAACGAGTATTTTTCTCTTCCATTATTAAAAAGAGAAATAATATTACAGTTACATATAAATGAAAATAAATAATTGAAAATTATCAAGTTATTGTTATTATTAATAATTATTTAGCAATACCAAAACCTCCAACGGTTTTAGCGAAAGATCTTGCCTTAATATTTTGTTTTTTCAACATTAATTCTACAATGCTTCCAATAACATATAAAATAGTAGTTAAAGCAATCAAAATAACAAACAATGAATATTTTTTAATCCAACCAAGGAACCCTTCATCGTTTGCTGATGGTGGTGATGATGATGAATTTGGATCTGGGTTATTGGGGTTTGTAGGTGGTGGTGTTGAGGATTTACCATCTTCCAAATTGAATGTAACATCTTGCAACGAATACCAAGTTTTAGACTTTTCCACCACTATGGCTCTAACTGTTACACTACCAGTTTTAGCTCCGGCTGAAGACGACCAGTTGAATTTCAAAGGAAGTTTCTTAACAGTTTTGGAGGTGTGTGTTACGGCACTGGGGTCGCTATTACAAGGTTGGAATGCGGGATCAGCTATATTAAATTTACCAGTTTTAGTATTATCTGCAGGATTCACTACGTAAAGTAGTAAACCCTCTAATGCACCAGTAACAACAACAACAACAACAATCTCAAGACCCGTTTGATTTATTATTTTAATATTATAAATGATATTTCTACTAATAATAAACAATATATATAAATATATATATGTATGCAAATTTATTATTTTTTTGTATTATTAATTTTTTTTTTGGTAGAAATTTAAAAAATAAAAATTTTTTATTTAATAATTTTATTGTTTGTTATATGCGTGTTTAATAAAACGAACGAGTATTTTTCTCTTCCATTATTAAAAAGAGAAATAATATTACAGTTACATATAAATGAAAATAAATAATTGAAAATTATCAAGTTATTGTTATTATTAATAATTATTTAGCAATACCAAAACCTCCAACGGTTTTAGCGAAAGATCTTGCCTTAATATTTTGTTTTTTCAACATTAATTCTACAATGCTTCCAATAACATATAAAATAGTAGTTAAAGCAATCAAAATAACAAACAATGAATATTTTTTAATCCAACCAAGGAACCCTTCATCGTTTGCTGATGGTGGTGATGATGATGAATTTGGATCTGGGTTATTGGGGTTTGTAGGTGGTGGTGTTGAGGATTTACCATCTTCCAAATTGAATGTAACATCTTGCAACGAATACCAAGTTTTAGACTTTTCCACCACTATGGCTCTAACTGTTACACTACCAGTTTTAGCTCCGGCTGAAGACGACCAGTTGAATTTCAAAGGAAGTTTCTTAACAGTTTTGGAGGTGTGTGTTACGGCACTGGGGTCGCTATTACAAGGTTGGAATGCGGGATCAGCTATATTAAATTTACCAGTTTTAGTATTATCTGCAGGATTCACTACGTAAAGTAGTAAACCCTCTAATGCACCAGTACCGGCAACTGATATATCAAAATTTCCTCCTGCTCCACTTGCTGACAATGTATAACCTCCGGTGCCAGTTTTTTTTAATTGAGGACCATGTCCTGTTGTTGCCATTTCCTCAATAACACAAGTACCAGCTCCGGATGAATATGAGGAAACATTATTGAAATTATTTTGAACGAAAATGAATAAAATTAAATAAACAATGGAAGAATAATACTTTAACATTTTTATATATATTATTATTTTTTTTTTTTTTTATTATATTTTCTCTTGATTTAATGTATTTAATGTTATAAATATGAAAAAGAATCGTTCAACGATTCAAAATATTTAATGTATGTTTTTTTTTTCAAAAAAAAAAAGTCGAAGGAAATGAAGATGAAAAAGAAAGGGTGGATGTGAGTAGAGTTTAATGAATAATTAATATAATTAAATAGACCAAGAATTTTATTTTATTTTCTTTATAAAAATTGATTAACCCAATAAAGAAAAAAAAATAAAATTTATCCTGTTACACGTATTATTATTATTATTATTACTGTAATTGTTGTACTATAATCACGTACAGTAGCGGGGTCAATTTAAGTCCCCCCTCCTAAAAATTTCATGCATGTACAAAAATTTGTTCCTTATATTTAGACATTTGGGAACACATTTCCTTTACAAAGTCGAGTAAATTATCCATATAAAATATAATATTAAAAAAAAATCAAAATTCTTACCTCTGACAGTGGCTTGTATGTATTATATTCATCCAGATTTCTCTTTTTTTCTCTTGCTTTCCTAAATCCAGCCATCTCATAATATGCATTTTACTTTTTCATTTTGATCTACAGCAACAAATAAATCCTTTCTTCCAGGGTCAACTTCAACTACTCTAGATCCTCCCTAATCTAATTTTTCATATTCATCGTCATTATCATAATCATCATTATCCCTTTTACCGATTTTTTGGCCTTTGTAGTTCTATTTCTGGTAAAAAATTTTCTTATATTAAAGCTTCTATTCCACCAATAAACAAAATTTTCTTTGAAAACTTCTCTAGTTACTAGATCATTAAAGCCCATAATTGGTGTAATGCTTTGATATCAATGTTTATTAGAGATTGTACCCACTGAATATTCATTCATTTAATCAATTAAATTTAATGTTTGGATAATCATTTGGTGAATAATTAAAAATATTCAGATATTAATTCAACATTAAATTGATTATTCAGTGAATATTCATTGTTAACAAAAAACTTTAAATTTATTTAATCATTT